TCATCTTTCCAGGGAACATATTGATTGGTCTTAGAGACTACATAGTTAAGTAAATGGCTGCTGGAACATCTATTTTTCTACAAAACTGGAAAAATGAAACTGGTTCTACAAGAATGTACAACAAAATAAAACATGTGAAGCAGTGTTAAATAAAAAAAAGAAAAAGAAAAGCAGTGGGGAATAAAAATAACCAACATGTTAAAAATGCTTTGTATTTGGGTGTCTGGCTATGAGCTATTCTTTTCTTTGGACCTTACTGTGTTTTTCAGCTATTTCTCTAATGAACAAATCCTGCTTTCACATTAAAAATTTTAATCCCTAAGTTTTCATATAAAAATTAATCTGCTATTTTCTACTGCAAGGATTTTATTTTATATCTCATTTACTTTAGGCCACCTGGACCTCAAACTTAACAGCATAGTTGGTTAATGCCCTTTTCATAGGCATTGTTAACACTGCTCTCTACCTGTAATGTTGCCACTTCCCAATCCCTAGCCTACTCTCATTAACTCCTGCTCACCTTTCAGGACTCAGTTCAATTGCTAATTTCTCAGGAAAGTCCTTCCTGAGTCCTCATCTGCAGAGATCAACTACTCACCTGCATTTGGAATTATATTTACATATACCTCGGTCATCTATTTCTTCCAGCGGGGAATTTTGTCATTATCTGGTTAATGAATTTCTGAAATTGAGACTGAGACTCTTTGGTTAATAGTTCATCCCAGGGCATAGTTGGTATTGAATACCACAGTGGTATTTAAAAGATATTTCTTGATTACTGAATCATTCATTCATTCATTCATTCATTTATATTCAGGAGAGAGGTGAGAACCAAATCCTAAATTCTGAAGTATAACTAATATTAAAATGTACATAGCAATTTGCTAATGAAAATCACAGATACTGTTTCCTTAAAATGCCTGAAGAATTTTAATAATTCAGATTAAATCATTCTCTTCTACTAATGTATGAAAAACATTGGAAATGGCAGGCACATTGGGAATTGAGTTGTTGTTATGACCACCATACTAATGACCCCTTGTGTGGCTACCCCTCTCCATGATTCCAGTCCCATCTGTCCTCCCATCACAACTGTCTACAATGAGCATGTTCCACTGGTTTCCAGGGAGACCAAAAATAGGACTGGCTCTGTACAAATCCATTACCAACCCAGGAAAACAACTCATGGCAAAATGAAAGCATTCTCTAAAGCACTACTGTGCTTAAGAAAAGACCACATATATCATTTCTATACTCCTCTAATAATGTCTAAGAAGACACACACATTTTGAAGTTATAAAGTTAATATTTACAAGTAGCCACCAGCTAGACACTATATACTTTTTCATAGGTTTTGAAAGTACCAAAGCAATTTCTACATTTGAAGCCAATGTAAATGTATATATTTGCATATACTATAAATGCATACATCTGTGTGGTATGCACAGTCTTTTCTACATTTGAGAACCTAGTCTTTGAAAACAATGGGCCAACAGTCAGGAGCAGTGCAGTATCTTCATTTTAGTTTCACCACATCATTCACTTTCTCTTTGTGCAGAAGGAAGCATGATGGTGTGTGCTGAAGTTATCTGATGCTATCCAAACAGTGGAGGTGAGGGGCGGGCTTGAGAGTGCTCTTCCCTCCTTTGGGACTACCACTTTTCCTGATAAAGGTCCTGATAAATGACTTCGTATTTCTTCCATTAAAACCTTGGGGCTGATTCTCACTCCAAAATTTGTCTCCCAATTCATCTCTGTCACCTTGGCCCTTAAGGACTTCAAGCTAGCAGAATCTCCAGGGTGTGATCTGGGCACAAGGATGGTCCTTACAATGCTGATGTGAAAAGAGCAGAAGAGTGGGGACCCTGGGTGTTCCAGAAGCCTGCCTTGGTGATCACTCTAAAGTCAAGGGGGAGTGAAATCTTCTCCAGGCACATAAAGTACACATTCTTCATTCAAAACAGCTGTCTTAAATATACTATCTCTGGGAACACTCCTTTGGAGTTAAAATTCTTGATTTGTTCAGGACTCGGGGGCTTCCCAGGACTTTTTGGGATGAAAGACAGGGCAGTGGTGGGACATGTTAGTCTTTGTCATAGTGGATCATGGCTTTATTTATAAAGCCATAGTCCAAATAGGTCCAAGGTTATCTGTTTAAAGTGACTATGGAAAAAAATAGTGACTTTGGGCACACAGCATCTGCAATCTCATCAGAGATAACTAATAAATTACTG